TCCTGATTACCAGATCAGCCACAGGTGTGTGAGAGGCTCAGCTCAGGAGGACCCACGGCGCACTCTGCTGGAGGCAGAGGGTAATCTCCAGAACCTGACCGTGACTCCAGCCCTAAGAGAAAGAGACAAAAGAGAGCAGAAGAGGATCCTCGGCACCCTCTGGTGGGCAAGCCTGAGGACCCCAACAGAGCCCCCCCCTCAAGGGCGGATTCCAGACGCCCCCTGAAAAAAAAAAGTCCAAAAAACAACCCACCAAGGGCGGGCGGAGGGGGCACTAGGGTGAGGAGGGCCAGAAACAAAAAACAGAGTCCAGAAAACAAAAAACAACCCACCCAGGGCGGGCGGCGGGGGCACTAGGGCAAGGAGGGCTAGAACCAACAGAAAAAGAGGTCCAACAAACAAAAAACAACCCACCCAGGGTGGGCGAAGGTGGAAACAGGCCAAGAGGGCAGAAAACAAAACCAGAATCCAGAACAAAAAACGATCCACTTATGGTGGATGAACACAAAAGAAAACCCAAAAACCCTCTTGGGCAAAGTCTCTGGTGGCCGGCCGAGGGACCGGCGGCGGGACACAGTCTCTGGTGGCCGGCCGAGGGACCGGCGGCGGGACACAGTCTCAGGTGACCGGCCGAGGGACCGGCGGCGGGACACAGTCTCAGGTGGCCTGCCGTGGGGCCGGCTGCAGGACACAGTCTCAGGTGGCCTGCCGTGGGGCCGGCTGCAGGACACAGTCTCAGGTGGCCTGCCGTGGGGCCGGCTGCAGGACACAGTCTCAGGTGGCCTGCTGTGGGGCCGACGGCGGAGGCGTAGTTGCTGCTCAGGATGTCGACCGTTGAGATGAAGGTGGGGCAGCGTCTTAGGGGGACCCCCGCCGGGCCGGAGACACGGATGAAGTTCAGGAGACCGGTCTACCATCCGGCAACGGAGCAGAGTCTTAGGTGGCCGGCAGCGGGGTTGAAGGCGACGCTGATACTCTGGGGGTATGCCATGGGTTCGACGGTGGAGATTATGCTCCGAGGGTCTGCCGCGGGACCGGAGGCGAAGCTGACGCCCAGGGGGTCCGCCAAGGGGCCGGAGGTGAAGCTGACGCTCAGGAGGTCTGCCGCGAGGCCGAAGGCGAAGCTGACGCTCTGGAGGTCTGCCGCGGGGCCGGAGGCGAAGCAGCTTCTCAGGAGGATGACGCTCAAGCTTCAGCAGGTACCCCCACGGGGTACCCCGTCCCCTCCTCGACCGCTCAGGCTCTGTAGCGACCGCCGACTGCGGTTCTGGGGGAGGCTCTGGGGAGACCGTCGAGAGTGACTCTGGAGGAGACCCTGAAGAGACCGTCGAGTGTGGCTCTGGAGGAGGCTCTGAAGAGGCCGCCGACTGCGGTTCAGGAGCAGGGGAGCCCGCCGACTGCGACTCCCAATCAGGAACAGGGGAGCCCGCCGACTGCGACTCCCAATCAGGAACAGGGGAGCCCGCCGACTGCGGCTCCCAATCAGGAACAGGGGAGCCCGCCGACTGCGGCTCCCAATCAGGAACAGGGGAGCCCGCCGATTGCGGCTCCGGGTCTGGAACATGCGGGATCACCGACTGTGGTTCAGTCTCAGGAACTGGGGAGGCCACCGACTGTGGCTCCACCTCAGGGACATGCGAACCCACCGACCGTGGATCCGCCTCAGGAACATGCGAACCCGCCGACCGTGGATCCGCCTCAGGAACATGCGAACCCACCGACCGTGGATCCGCCTCAGGAACATGCGAACCCACCGACCGTGGATCCGCCTCAGGACAATGCGAACCCACCCACCGTGGATCCGCCTCAGGAACATGCGAACCCACCGACTGTGGATCCGCCTCAGGAACATGCGAACCCACCGACTGTGGATCCGCCTCAGGAACATGTGAACTCACCGACTGTGGATCCGCCTCAGGAACAGGGGAGGCCATCGACTGTGGTTCCCCCTCAGGGACAGGAGAAAACACCCATGGGGGCTCATGTTCGGTCTCTGAGGTGGCTTGAAGGGCCAGCAGGGAGTTCTTGGAGGCCTGAGGTTTCTGCAGATAGACTCTAGGAAGAATCAAATCACACACCCTACATTCTGACACCTCTTCTAAAGTCTGCTCAGGGGTCTCTGGACGGCACAGAACTGACTCAGGGGTCTCTAGACGACTAAGAACTGACTCAGGGGTTTCTAGATGGCTCAGAGCTGGCTTAAAGCGACGCCGTTTCTTACGTCGGGAATTAATGGAAACAGGGCCAATAGATGCGGAGACTGACTGAGACAAAAGGTAAGCAGGTGTGCTAGTGGATTCAGACGCTAAACTAGTTGGTTGGTTGGGAGATGAACGAGGTGATAAGAAGGGGAAGAGATCATCTCTATCCCCATAGAAAAAATTCCAGAGATCGGATTCTTGGATTTCAGGTGCTCTGACTGTTCGGGTATGGAGCTGTGGTATAATTTTAAGTTTCTTAGTGGATGGTACTAACTGATGGTCATGTAGGTGATGGCTGAACTGGATAGTACTGTACGGAAGTTGACTGAACAGGGCTGTACAGGACTGTATGGGGCTGGACTGGTCTGGACAGGACTGGACAGAACTGGGCTGAACTGGACGGTGCTGGGCAGAAACGGACTGGACTGAACTGGAACGGAAAGGACTGGACTGGACTAAGCTGGACTGGGTTCCAAGATCTGCACCTAACTCTGGTTCGTAATCTGTGATCCAGATAGCTAGCTAAACAGAAGAGTTCCTCCAAAGTTGCAGGTTCATCAACTTTTGCCAGCTCATCTTTAATCTCAACATTTAAAGCATTCAAGAAAATGTTTTTGAGCATGGCATTAGTCCAACCGGAAGTGGAGGCTCTGACCCGGAATTCAATTATAAAATCTTTGACAGTTCTATTCCCCTGTTTTAAATCAGCAAGACCCTGAGATTTGGTTGAGTCAGAAAAGGCTAGAGAGAATTCCTTTAAAAAACGTTCAAAGGTAGAAGAAATACTGGATTCAGGAGAAAAACAGGTCTTTGCCCATTTGCGGGCTTTTCCGGATAATCGTGAAATAATAAAGTCTATTTTTTCCCTGTCATTAGAAAAACTAGAGGAGGAGAGTTCAAGAAATATTTTGCACTGAAAAAGAAAACCGTTTAATCGACTAGGAATGCCAGAAAACCTTTCAGGAAGTGACGGGCGGAAAACCGGAAATGACGGGACTGGTTCTGACCTAGGGGGCGGGTTTGGCTCCGGAACCGGAAGTTGAGCAGGCGCCATCTTATGATTCCCTCGAAGTCCGTAGAATCCAGAAACGTTGGTTTAAACAATCAAAACTAGAGTTAAACTCACGGAGGGTTGTGTCTGTCCTTGGATCTAAGCGTCCCGTTCCTTAATCCACCGGCGGAGGTGTTCTGCTGGGCTTGTGTTTTGGCCGCAGTGTTCTGTCATGATGGGTTTTTTCTAAGTCAAGCCCAAGATGCAGAACACACACGGGAGAACTGGGTAAAAGTCCAAAAGAGTTTATTTAGAACACAAGCACATGAATACTGGAACTGATTCAGGCAGGGGGGCTGGTTCACTGGGGGCTGAGCTGGAAAAGGGAGATGGTAGGTAACAGAGTTCATGTGAGGCTAAGCATTGCTAGCTTAGGGTTGAATGGCAGTCCTGGGTTGGAGCTTCCAGCTCACTGCAGGGGAAAACACGGAGAGTCTTTCAGGCTGAGCTTCCAGCTCACCGTAGGGAACAACAGGGGAAATCCACGTAGGAATCCTTGGGTTGGCTCACCAGGGCAGATTAGCAGGTTCACTTTCCTAGAGCGTCAGGCGTGGGACTGGCTTCCTATGATGCAACTCTCCCAGAGCTGCAGGCCAGAGACAGGTTGCCAGAGAGACAGTTCTTCCGAGCTTCACAGGGAAACAGGAGGTTAAGCTCATCCAGAGCTTTCACGAGGAGACAGGTGGCCAAGCTCATCCAGAGCTTTCACGAGGAGACAGGTGGCCAAGCTCATCCAGAGCTTTCACGAGGAGACAGGTGGCCAAGCTCATCCAGAGCTTTCACGAGGAGACAGGAGGTTAAGCTCATCCAGAGCTTTCACGGGGAGACAGTAGGTTAAGCTCATCCAGAGCTTTTATGAAGAGACAGGATTCCTGTGAGGCAGAGACAAGAAAGAATTAGATTCTGATCTCACACTAGAGATAACAAAGAATCTTCTGTAACAAAGGCTCAGGAAGCTAACCAACTAAGATCAACACTGCGGCGTGGAATCCAGGTCTGAAGGTAGCTTAAATACTGTGGTCCTCCTGATTACTAGATCAGCCACAGGTGTGTGAGAGGCTCAGCTCAGGAGGACCCACGGCGCACTCTGCTGGAGGCAGAGGGTAATCTCCAGAACCTGACCGTGACTCCAGCCCTAAGAGAAAGAGACAAAAGAGAGCAGAAGAGGATCCTCGGCGCCCTCTGGTGGGCAAGCCTGAGGATCCCAACACAAACATGTGGTCTCTGATACAAAGTTAACCACTCGCTCAAAAAGGCCATTTCCCTTGAGTAAGATTTTAATCAGTCCGGTGCTGTACCAGAAAGGCTGACCTGGTGGCACCATCCTTAAATATGTGTTTTCTTTTGACTACCTGAGTCATTTGAAATGATGCTTTTAAAAATAACATAAAACTGTTTAGTTAGGACGCTTTAGAAATGTTAAGGTGTTGAAATATCTGAAAGGCTGGATGCAGGCGAGAGCGTATCGGGAGATGGAGAAGGAGACCAACAAGACCTCCCTCATCCTTGGCCCTATCTCTAAGAATTTTTCGAAATATTTGAAAAATTGAGCTTTCAATTCATATAGTGGCATCCGGCTGTTTTTTTTTAAAGGTTAATTTATACTTTACTACTCCACCTCCTCCCTGTAGGTGGCTTGTACATGTATATCAGTATGGGTGTCCTCCTTTGCCCATTATTCACTCATTACAAACAAAATTTTAAGTATATATATTCAGCATTTGTTGCTTCCTTTGTCTCTGTTGCAGGCAGAGGCTTCCACCAAAAAACGTCTACTACTACCGCTGCCCTGACCACAGACGCAACTACGTGATGTCATTTGCTTTTTGCTTCGACCGAGAAGATGATGTGTACCAGTTTGCATACTGCTACCCCTACACCTACACCAGACTGCAACATTACCTTTCTAGCTTGGAGCGCAGAAACCTTCCCTACCTGCAGAGGGAGCAGCTTGGACTTAGTGTGGTAAGTTCCAAAATAAAAAGACACACACACACACAAGCAGGTGGACAAATAAAGATATTAGGGTGGTGGAAATGTTAAGGGTTGAGGCAAGGAGCTATAATGACTAGGGTTAGGATGGGCTTCGTAGGAGTTATTCATATGGTGTGTGCCTTTACAGATTAAGGAGAGCAAATTTGGTAACTTTACTGTGCCTGCTAGCAATGTTTATATAGGATGTTACACTGGTAGATTACAAACTACAAGCTTCTGAATACCTATGTTCAGCAGTGCTTTCACATCGGCAATGGAAGCAAGTGTATCATACATGCTGCCTGCAGTCCCGTCTGTTCTTATCAAATAATTGACAGAGAAAAACTCATTAGAAATGCTTGAGAGATTAGGACTTTTCTTCAGTACTCCAACATTTCACAGGGAAAGTTATCTTCCAGAGAAATACCATGTAGTACAGGTACTTGAATGGAGCATATGACCATAAATTACAGTAACTATTTAAAAATTTAGAAACAATATTAAACAGGTGATAGTACTTTTTATATCTTTATATATTGAATATGCAATGCCATGTATTAGAATTAAAGGGTAGAAAATTAAGAATTATACATTTTCTTTCTTACTGTGAGGTAAGTGAAGCATTTAAAATTTGAGCACAAGCTTTTAAATTTGGTTTGGCAGGTGGCACCAGGGGCTGTAAAATCAAATGTATTTTGTAATTCATCCAGAAATGACTGAAGAGGTTATCAGTTGGATATGTACAACATTTCCATTCCCCCAAAGGAAAAACAAGATTTTTTTCCTGATAAATATTGGCTTGTTATAGATTCAAAAACATTAACACATTCAAATGTTTCAATAACACTTTAAATGTTTTCTGGCCAAGTCAAAATATGATAAATATTTTGGTTAGTTTTATAGTGATATAAACTTAAATTCCATGAACACAGTTACGGAAGACCCAAATCAATATGTGATGTGTGTATGCACTTGGATTTTTCTATTTTGTATTTTTTTATTCATAGAACAACTGCAAAGTTTAATGTATTTTACTAACATATATTTAAGACCACCACAGACTATGGGAAGTAAAGGGAGTCAATGTTCATAAAAAAAGTTTCAGCAAACATATTTTTCGGATATATGCTTTCCAAAGTGTGGTGTGCAATTACGTTCATCCACCCTTATTACATGCCTATTAGAATCACCTTTAACTGCAAATAAAGCTGAAAGTCTTTTTGTTCATGTCTCTAACACCATTAGAGTTATTGAACAGAAGTTTTCACAAATTTTCTTTGGAGTGGTTCAAATCTAATCTTGTTGTCTGCTGCTTTATCATGTTGAAGGGGCAGCAGTTACACCAGAGATGACTTTGCTCTACCCAGAAAGACCCTCGAAACATTCAAGGTTTACCTCATATTTTTAACTAAATTTAGGTCTTGATCTAAACTGGGTTTTGATTATGTTTACAGTTGTCATGCTTGAACGTGAACCAGGTGTGAACCCCCCTTAGTTCACAAAAGATTTTAGCTTAGCAGCGTTTTCTTCCAGGATTGTTCTTTATTTATTGTCTTATTTGTTCCCATCAACCATGACCATAAAAAAGCATCCCTACAGCCAAATTAGGACCACCTTAACACTCTTTCGAGTGCATGTCCACCTTGTAGTGACACCCGTAAGGCTGGCGGCTGTCAGGAGTTCTTTTCCTACCCTGGATAAGGTTCTTACTGTTGACCTCATAAAAGTCGAAAGGATAGGAGCTAGGAAAAGGAGTACGGATCTACAATTTGTGTCATGATCGCTGCCTTGATAGCATACCTAATTGCTCATTTCACTCACCTGCCTTACACTGCCCAGTTGTTAATTATCACACATCTTATCCACCTGCTCCTACTGCTTTATATAGGGCTATCGGGGCCAGATCATTGACTATGTGTTTTCAGTTTTAGTTGGAGATCATGGCTGATTTCCAGAGTTCGTTTTCTCTTTCTCGAAGGCCTGTGGTTATAGAAGGTTTTCTTTTAGTCATGTCTTAGTGTTTCCTGATCATGTCCTGACTCTTGTCCACTGAACTTGCCCTGTTCCTGTTTTGGCTCAGTGGAGCGAGGTAGTTTATAGTTCAGTAGTTTTCCAGATAGCATGTCGTGTTTCTGCTCTCAACTACTAAGCCTGCCTGTTACCGTCTGAACATTTCTGCCTGAATTGCTGCCTGAATTACTTATTTTGTTGTCGCATTGGCACACATGGAATGTCATAAATTTTATAATCAGTCTTTTGGATTGTGGCTACAAAAATTATACTAACTGTTTTATTTAATTAAAGTGTTTGACAAAGGAGGGGCTATTTGTAATTTCACTTTAACATCTCAGCAGTCTTATAAATGTAGTGAAAAACTGCTAATCTGCTGTGCTTTATAAATAAAATTAACCCAAGTTATGACAGCAAACAAATGAAGGCTCCATGCATTTCACTAGGGCTGATAACAAATCTTCTCTTGTTTAATCTGTGCTACTGTTATGTGTGTAGCAGTGAAGAACTAAGATATACAATTCAGGCTGTGCAGCACACTCTTTTCGCTTTATTTCTAAGCTGCATCATTTCTCTTTGCAAGACAAAAAGAATGGGGATAGGACAGACTTGGTTGGTTGGCTCACAGAGTCAGTATTAGTATTCATAGTCATAGAGAGGTTTTATGACCGTATTTTTCTTTTTATGTTCTCTGGGCCTTGGTCGCAGACAGCTTAGCTCCACCCTCTCATATCTCTTTCCCTGACTGCTCCCCCTGTCTCTCACTGTTACCATTTCTTCTCTCTCCTTCACATATACATATGCAACACCACACACACACACAAACACCCACGCGCCTATGTTATGTCCTGCTATGCTTACGGGGACCTTGCCTCAACTTCCATTCATTGTAAATTCATTTGTCTGGCCTACCCAAGCCTTTACCCTAACCCCAACCATTACCAACAAGCAGCTAGCACTAAACCTAATCTTAGCTCAATTCAACGCTTAGTCCTAAACCTAAGCCCAAGATGAGAGCTTTTCCTCAATCCGGACTAATGTATCTCCAACTTTCAACAATGTAGCATATTCCTGCAAAAAGGGCCTTGCTCTGCCCCTTTAAGTAAAAAATAAGTAAATAAAAGCACATGACCACATATACAAACATTTTCTTCTTGATATATGTAGTGCAGACCATCTGTTGACTTCCATTGACTTCTGTTGATTTTCAGTCATTTTCAACCATTTCTATGCTCTACCCTTACAATAATCTCAAACCTATACCATCATCACTGCATTCTTAACTCTAACCTAAGCTAAATTCCTAAGCCTAATTGTCAGCAAAGTAGAAAGTGAAGGCCAGTTTGGTAAACGTTTGGAAAAGCCTCATTTTGGTACAAACCGTCCTCAAATTGATTGTGAAAATTGAAAAATGGTCCTCCCTCTGAGGCCAAGAAAGGAGCACACACAGATTCACACACAGGTCAGTAGAAAAGAGATGAGAATGGATAAAGGAAACCTTTTAACTGCATCAAAGTTAAAAGACAGATTGCTATAATTTCTGAGGTAGAGTCTTTGGATAAACCAGAATGTGGCTGGGACACCAGAATAGTTTTAACCGTATTATGGATACAGTTACCTTAAAAGGATGGAAATAAGATCCAGGCATGCTTCTGTCATGCTTTGTAAGGTATTTTCCATGATGTATCCCTCTATTTCATAGACAAATTTGTCTGCATACTTAAGCTGAGATATGTCAAGAAGTTCTGTATTTGTAATTAAATTTTTTTTTTAATTTAATTAAATTTTGAAAACTATTGTCAAGATTAGCATGTTCTATTTTACAATACAAACAAATGTTAATAGACACAATCAATTAAATATACATAGAAAAAATAATAATAAGAAAAAATAAACATCTGTTCATGCATCCCCATTTTATTATGAGAGAAACATTTCACCTTTTCATACCTGACTTTGCGTTTTCTCATTTTGTATTTGGAAATGTATATGACTTGTTTCTTCTTCCCTTAATAACAGACTAAATCTCTATTGCTGATGGGCTCTCCCTTGTGCTGCATTGTCAGTGAGAATTACAGCACTAACTAGAAAGACCTCTATTTATAATAGAGAGAAGACACATGGATGGCAGAGTCTGTGTGAATTTGTGGTAAGCCAATTCTTTTTAGATTTAAAGCAAAATGTTTAGGAGCATGCAATTTAATGCTGCTGTCCTGACAGCTAAATGCTGTGCCTGCCATGCTGTTCACAAAAACAGGTATGGTAAATAAAGAATAAAATACAATGAAATATTTGGAATAAAACAGAAATATATTTTATTGTCTCACATTTGGGAAATGCTTGCATCAGTGTCAAAGCAACTAGACAACAAAGCATATAGGTGCACAAGAGTATACATTTAGAAAAAAACTAAAACTAAAAAAATGTTAAAAATAAATGGTATAGCAAAGAAAAACAAAAATCTGAAAGGTAGAAACACTATGCAGTGGAATAAAAAAAATTGCATTATCAGATTTAATAAAACAGAACAACAGTTGCCTGTTTACATATGAAATAATTAAGAACTGCAAATAAGTGCTTGGATGTGGAAAGCAATCATTGAGCGGGTAAAACCTGCAAAATACCTGATAAGACTATATAAGCAAAATAATTGCTGTTCATAAACTTTGAAAAGAAATATATGTTTGCAAGTGACAGCGTAGTGGTAAAAAGTTATCTGGCCTTTTGGGAGCAGAACATAAGATCTAAAATCAGCTTAGGGAAAGGATCTGCAATAGTGCACCTTTTGCTACTAGGGTTCAGTGATCTATCACTAAAGGATCTGGAAAAACTTTGTTTATGGGGTTGAGTTCAAGATCTAACTGTGGACAATAAGGAAGCTTTAACACAAATTACCAGAGTAACTTCAATTGTACAGGTTCACACTTTGCTGAATAAAAGGTCCTGTTCTGGTATATAGTGCTTTTAGATTCCTCCACTAT